TGTCAAGTCAAAGAAAACATCCATCCATCCGCTTCATAATAAATGAAGCCATTTTAATTCATTCAATTAAAATGGTTACTTTGTGTTAAACTGGAAACGAATGAAGGTATAATCCAGGTTAAAGCGTGTATTAATTGGAAAAATAAATTCCAGCCTCTCTTTGCCCCATTATCAATATGAGAGTCTAAATTCAGCATAAAATGTGTCACACGAGGGTTTCCAAAATCAGTTTTCTGGTTCAGACAGAGGCCAAGAAAGCAGAGAAAACTCAAATGTCCTTAACCCTGCACGGAGAGTCAGAAAAATAGAATAGCTTCTCCCATTTGGTTCCAATATAAGTTTCTTGGAACAATCCAGGCGAAAGCGATCAAAAGAACCTAGATTTCAACCAGGTCAGTAAAAGACTCAATAGCCACATTCACTTTTTTTATACCTCCATCTTTTATCTGTGCCGTCTGGACATTGCAAAGGATGTGCTTATGACACAATACAGAATATAAAGCTACGCATTATGTCCTACTTGGTTTTTTTCTAAATAGAAAAACTCTCAAAATCCTTCATGGGAAATTTATACCAGTCCCATCCTAATTGTAGTGCCGTTCTCTTTTCTCAGCATCACTTTTTTAGTTGGGCTAACTGACCTGTACATGGCAAATAGGAGCATAGTTTTGATATTGCAATATGCAGCAGTTTTTCCCCCGTACTTCCTTATTCAAAAGAACTTACCTTTCCCACAAATATCACTGGCTCAAAATGTCTGTCATTTCGCATCATTCCAAGTGTTAATTGGGTAAAAACAGAAAGAGTGTGAACAGAAAGAGTGACTGGCTACTTCTATTCCCAATTTTATTATTTTTACCAAATTAACTGCTGCAAAGTTCTTAGAATCTTTAAGAGTCCTTAAGCGATTCTGTACCCTAAACCTTGTACGTGCAGTCCTCAAATTATAACAATTCCTTTGGGTAACTGCTCAAAGTTAATACGGCCCTGAAAAAAGGGACTTATTCACATCTATGGCCGTTGTAGCAACCCTAGGGTCACGTGATCAAAATTCAGATGCTTGGCAACGGATTCATATTTATGACAGTTGGTGTCCCAGCGTTATGTCATCCCCTTTTGTGACCACATGACAAGCAAAGCCAACGGGGAAGCCAGTCATTTAACAGCAGCAATGATTCACTGAATAACTTTGGCAAGAAAGGTCATAAAATGGAGAAAAACAAACAACCGTCTTGTTTAAGGACAGAAACGTTGGACTCCATGATGGTCACAAGTTTGGGACTACCCGTACTTGAAAGCATTTGTTTGGTGACTGAAGTTACAATGGCACTGAAAAAGACCTACCACCAGTCCTCATATTTATGACCAGCAGTGCGCAGCATCAGCCAGCTGTGTGTAGCAGCAGCCAAAAAAGCTAATGCAATCCTAAGTTGTATTAACAGAGGGATACAATCGAGATCAAGGGAAGTACTAATACCACCCTATAAAGCCTTAGTAAGACCACACCTAGAGTACTGCATCCAGTTTTGGTCACTACATTATAAAAAAGATGTTGAGACTCAAGAAAGAGTGCAGATAAGAGCAACCAGGGTGATTAGGGGACTGGAGGCTAAAACATATGAAGAACAGTTACAGGAACTGGGCCTGGCTAGTATAGTGAAGAGAAGGACCAGGGGAGACATGATAGCCGTCTTCCAGTATTTGAGGGGCTGCCACAGAGAGGAAGGGGTCAAGCTATTTTCCAAAGCACCTTAAGGCCAGACAAGGAATAATGGATGGAAACTGAACAAGGAGAGATTCAACCTGGAAATAATGAGAGATTTTCTGACAGGAAGAACAATCAACCCATGGAACAGAAGTTGCCATCGGAAGTTGTGGGAGTGCCATCACTGGTGACTTTCAGGAAGAGATTGGACTGCCATTTGTCAGAAACGGTGTAGGGTCTCCTGCTTGTGCGGGAGGGGGGGCTTGGACTAGATGACCTGCAAGATCCCTTCCAACTCTGATTATCTGTCATCTGTTATCTGACCGTGGGAGCATCTTCAGTGACACAATTAAAATTTAGATGCTTGGCAACCAGCATCTATTTATGCTGCTATTCGCCATTTGTGATCTTCCCTAATGGGTTCCCACAAGCCAAGTCATAGGGAGGGAAGCTGGATTCGCTTAATGGCCACACGATTCACTTAACAACCTTAATTTGTTTTAACCACCGTGGCAAAAAAAATAAATCAATCATAAAATCTGGCACAAGTTACGTAACCATCTTGCTTAGCAGTGGAATTTCTGGTCCTCAGTCAAGGGCGATCTATCAATTCCCCCAAATGTGGACAACTGTTCTAGATCAACGTAGCTCAAACTTGGTGGCTTGAAGATGTGTGGAAATCTCAGAGTTGAAGTCCACCCGTTTTCTACCTGCCAAGTTTGAGGAATGTGGCTCTAGATGCACCAGGTGTGGAATTGATGCACTGCACTCTTGTTCTTGCCCAGCCAATTGTAATGTAACCTTAACTGTTAAGATCTACCATAAACTTGTCAACTTTAAGACTTGTGGACTTCAACTCCCTAGAATTCTGTGAGTTGGAAGTCCACAAGTCTTAAAGTTGACAAGTTTGGAGACCTCTGGTCTACCATATTCTACAAGAATGACCTGTGGAAAACAGATCATACACAGAGAAGGATCTACTGTTTTAACCGACGCACTTAATGCTATAAAGACAATCTTTTGCTAAACCTAATGTATGCACGCACTGCTCAAAGCAATAGCAATCAACTTATGTACTGCTTTGGTGTTTTACAGCTCTAAGCGGCTTAGAGTCAGCCTATTGCTCCCCACAGTTCTCCTTTTACCAACCTTGGAAGGGTGGAAGGCCAAGTCAACCACGAGACGGTGAGACTCGCCCGTTGGCAAAATTAGGCTTGCAATCCGTGAGACTCGCCCGTTGGCAAAATTAGGCTTGCAATCCCGTGTTCTAACCGTTGCATCACTAGGCTTCATTTCATGCCGTGACATAAAATCTTAAATTTTACCGGCATAAAAATCCAGGAAACCACACGTGTCTTACAATACACTGGGATGGCACTCTTTATAATCTTAATGGGGGTGCCTGCAGCAGTAACCCTTATTCCAGGCATACCCTCCCATATTAACAGGACAGTTAAAAACAAACTGGTTTAGCGAGCCCTTAAATCCCACCGGGCTTGGTTTTGAAGGCTGAAGCCCATCTTAAAACAAAAACTGGCTGGTGCCTGCGGTTTAAATTCGGTAGGTCAAGAGATCGGGCAGCCGTTAAAAAAAGTGGATCAATCTAATCACCCCTCTTTTGTTCGGGGCAATCCAGAATGTGTGCGCAATAAAGAACAGAGTTAAGGAAAAAGCTGCTATGCCTCACGCTTGGATCAGAGCAACTTTTAGCCACTTTAATAAGACTTGGGGATCTGAACTCTTAGAACACCTCAGCCAGCCAGGTTGGCTGAGAAATCCTGGGAGTTGAAAGTGCACAAGTCTTTAAAAATCACCGAGACTCCTTGTCAGGATTCCAGCAATCGCTCTAATTAAGTCATGGTTCTCGAGCCAAACTTCCAAGAAACGTCAAAAGGATTTATTAGAGGCGACTTACTGGCCCTGCCCTGCATGAAGCCGACTCTGGCATACGTCATATACAGTCACCTATGACCGTTTTAAACCAGATTCTCCAATTGAGCACCTTCACAGGCTGGGTGACATCCATCACGTTCTCCAATTGAATATATTCACGGGCAAAAACTCTGGTATTTTAGTTACAATCTTTTAAAGATAAGAGTTGGAATGTACTTCCGCTTCCAAACGGCTGCACTGTTCTTCCAGATTTCTTCCCCCTCCCTTTTTAATGGCAACTAAAACAGGCATAGGAATGTTTTATGAGTTGACACTCCTACCATGGAGATATATATATATATACAGGTAGTCCTTGACTTACAACCTCATTTGAGGCCAACATTTCTGCTGCTCAGTGAAATATTTGTGAAAAGTGAATTTTGCACCGTTTTACGACCTTTCCGTGCCACAGTTGTTAAGGGAATCACTGCAGCTGTTAAGTTAGTCACACAGCTGTTAAAGTGAATCTGGGTTCCCCATTGGTTTCGCTCGTTAAGAAAGTCACAAAAGGGGATCACCTGACCCCCGGGACACTGTAACCGTCATAAATAGGAGTCAGTTGCCAAGCATTCAAATTTGGACCACGTGACTATGGGGGAATACGTCCGCTTCAGTGCTATTGCAACTTTTGAGCCATTGCTAAATGAACTGTTAAGGACTACCTCTACGACCTCAATGGAGCCCAATATTTGTGTTGCTAAGCGAGACATTGTTTAATTGAGTTTTGCCCAATTTTACTTTTTTGTCAAGTTAATCATAGCTGCTGTTAAGTTAGTACGTAAATCTGGCTTCCTCATTGACTTGTATTGACAGGTCACAAAAAGGAATCCCATGATGACCCCAGGATACGGCAACCATCATAAATATGAGTCAGTTGATAAGCTAACCCATCGATCACCCAACCATGGGGATGCTGCTGTGGTCGTGTGAAAAACGGTCGCAAGTGCCGTTGCAACTTTGAACAGCCACTAAACGAAAGGTTGTAAGCCAAGGACTACCTGCGTTAAGTCCAAGTGTTAACCTGCCTCTTAGGATGGGAATACTCGGTGCCTTTCAATCCAAGGCAGGGGTCTTCAAACTGGACAGCTTTTAAGACTTATGGACTTCAACTCCCAGAATTCCTCCTCCAGTCATGTTAGCTCAGGAATTCTGGGAGTTTGAAGTCCACAAGTCTTAAAACTTGCCAAGTTTGAAGATCCTTGGTTTAAGGCCTACTCTAGAAAGGTCTAGAAAGCAGAGACAGTCAAGACACAACGATTCTTTCAATGAAAACACCGTTAACGAGGTCATTGCCATTCGAAATTTTTTTTTTTTCCAAACACAATTCGGGAGACAACTCTATAACGCTTCAAAGCTTGCAAGGAACCTGTCCAAAGACTTTATTTTTCACGTCCCATCAAAATCAGCCATGGCCGCATGTAATCATAAGCACCGCCGAACTTACAATAACCTTCCTTTCTACGTAGCCTCTTTCCTCTTCGCCGTGGAATTTCTTCAGGCCTATTCTTTCTCCTGTCCCCTTTTATTTCTTTTTCCAAAGTTCTGTTTCAAAAGGCTTCGAACGACATGCCAAATTGTTCCGTATCGAGCAGCTCGAACACAGGGGCAACTTCCGAGCCTCCTCCCCTTCCTCTCTCTCTCTCTCTCGCTCTTTTTGTTTTGGCAGGCTGGGTGATACGAGACGCTGCTGTGTTTTTTCGCTCCCAAAATTCCTGCCCCGATCGGGCGGGGAATGCGACATCACCCACACATCACCTTGGTTTTTAAGCAATGTTCTTTTTTTATTATTATTGTTATTATTATTATTATTATTATTTCCAGTTTACGGTGAAAAGATGCTTTTTTTTTTTTGAATCTTCAATTAAATACTCCGTAAAGAAAGAAAAAAAAAAAAACCAAAAAAAAAGGAAAAAAAAAAGAAAGAAAAAGGAGGAAAAAAAAAAATATTTACAAATTCGCGTGAACGGTAATTGTATCCATTTTTTGTTTGGTTTATAAAGTTTGTTTCGTTTGTGGTTTCGTTGTCGTTTGCTTTTTGTTTGTTTTCCTTTCCGTTACAAGCGCGCAGCAGCTCCGTTAACTATCCAAGTGCAGAACAAAGCGGGTCGCGGCCATCGCGCCCCCCCCCTTTCCGTGCGCTCGGAGGCGGGGCCGCAGGGCGAGACGGCAAGGGCGCGAAGGGGTGAGGTTGGCCCGCGAAGGCCAAGGCAGCCGTGGTGGTGAGCTTGTGGAAAAAGGGAGAAGGGGGGGAAGGGGAAGGTTCAGGGAAGCTCAGAGCCACCCTCACCTCTTGGCCAGTGAGACGCCGGCCGCTCCCCAAGCAGCAACGGTGAAGGTTTGAAGTGTTTTTCTGTTCCGCTTGCAAAAATGGATTTCCAAAGAAACGTCCATTCTGGTTTGGGGTTTTTTGGGGGGGGGTTGTTGTTTATGTTAATTCCAGGCGGTCATGCTCCCCCCCTCCAAATAAAAGTGGGTGACCATATGAGAGGATCGGGGGGGGGGGAGGGGATAGAGGGGGAAGAGCCATTTGCGGCCAGTTTAAAGAGTTCTATTCTCCAACCTCAAAAAAGATTTAATAAGTCTATATTTATATTTTATATATATATTTATATAATCTCTATATTTCAGCCATAAAGTGGAGAAAAGGGAGGGTTGAGGGAGGAGAGAGAGAGGGGGGGGGGGAGAAGGAGGGAGCAAGAGAGAGAGAGAGAGAGAGAGAGAGAGAGAGAGAGAGAGAAAGAGAGAGAGAGATGGCAGGAGCGTAGGCATTGGGTTGGCTACCCGCCCCCATTTTCCATCCAAAAGACATGTGTTTCGGGGGTGCTTTGCACCAGAAGAATTGTGGGGGGTTCGTCCCCGTCCCCCCCGCTCAGGAAAATCATTCAGGGCAGGTGCCCAGAGAGAGAGAGGGGGGGGGGGGTGGGGGGGTCTGAGCGGAGCGCCCACAGCAACACCTACCTCCTTGAGCATCAATTTATTATCATCAGACACAAACCAATACAGGCTGTTAAAACGGAAAAAAAAAAGAGAGAGAGAAAAAAAAAATCCCAACCAAAAAAATAAAAAGGGGGGGGGGGGGGAAAAAGGAAAAAAAAAAAAGAAAAAAGAAGTAGTCTTATGAGGGCGGGCGGGAGGAGAGAAAAAAAAAAAGTGGCAGAGGTCAGCCCTGCGCCGCCTCGTTTCTCCCCCCCCCCACGCCAAACGCCCCAAGGGAGTCCAGGCTCCAAGGAGGGGGCCACAGAGCAGCAGCAGCAGCAGCGGGGCAGGTTCGGTCTGCGCCCCCCCCCCCCCCCCGGCCGCCCTCCCCCTCTTGCGGGCTGCTCAATTGTTGTTGTCGGATTCGTCATCAGCTTCGCGCAACCAAGTGTAGAAGGCTGTGACCGACTTGAGGGCGACGCCTTTCCCTAGCTGCTCGGCTGGGTCCTTGCTCGACTCCCACTTGTAGAAGGCGTCCTCTTTAATGACGTCCTCGTCGTACAAGGCATCGAAGAACATTCGGAGGAGATCTGGAAGCGAGGAGAGTGTCAGGATTCCGGCAGTTTACTTAACCCCCCCACCCTCCACCCCCCCATTCAAATCATGAGTCTCGAGCCAAACTTCCAAAAAATTCAGAAGGATTTATTGGGAGTTAACATGCCGGCATTGCCTGCGTGCAGCTGACTCTGAGGCACAACATTCATGGTCACCCTTGACCCTGGTTTTCCCGCCACCCCCTGGGTGTATCGTAATTCAATATTCTCCAATGGGACACATCCATAGCCAAGAATCATCAATCGTGCTCTCCAGTTAGAATTTTGCATGGGAGAAACTTCGGTCACCCTAGTTACTATCTTTGAAAACATTGATGGAATGCAGTTTCGGTTTGCAAGCTACCACACTGCTCCCCGCTCTCTTTCTGTTGGCAACTCTAAAGAGACCGTAGAAATATTTTATGAGTTGACAGAGAGGACAGGTCAGCTGGTGAGGAGGACCTTTGCCCACTGAGCCTTGATACGGGCAGTCCCTGACTTTCAACCACAGGTGAGCCCAAACATTTCTGGGGTCTAAGCAAATTTTTACCACCGTTCACCCCACCTTGTCACTGTTGTTCAGTGAATCGCTGCAGTTGTTTATACCGGGGCCCCCAACCACCGGTCCCCGGATCATTTTTTACCGGGCCGCAAAGCTTGGGCGCCGCCATCTTGTTTCGATGGCGCTTCCGGGTTTTCAGTTGGAAAACGGTGTTTGGGTGCTCACGCCTTAGTTTCGTCGAGGGGGGGGGCGGCTTCGAACGGAGAGCCGTCCTGATGGCGGTGGAGTCTCGCGTTACTCAAGTACCGGTCCGTGGAAGAATAAATAATCGTGAAACCGGTCCCTGGTTCAAAAAAGGTTGGGGGCCACTGGTTTATACGTTTAGTTACAGGTAGTTCTTGACTTGTGACCACAACGGAGCCCCAAATCTATCTCTCCAAGTGAGACGTTTGTGAAGTGCCACTTTTGCCTCGCCACGCTTGCTCAAGTGAATCGCTGCAGGATGTTTAAAATTAACAACACGATTGTTAAAAGTGAATCTGGCTCCCCCTTTAACTTTGCCAGTCAAAAGGTCGCAAAAAGGGAATGTCATAACTCTGGGAAGCTGCAACCGTCATAAATGCGAGTCAGTTGCCGAGCACCCGGATTTTGATCATAAGACCTTGGGGAATGCTGCCACCGTCGTTATGTGTGGAAAAACAGTCCCAAGTCACTTTTTTCAGTGCCGTTGTAACAAAATGCCAAAAATGAACGGTTGTAAGTTGAGGACTACCTGTGACATGGTTGTTAAGTGAATCTGGCTTCCCCATTAATTGTGCTTGTCAGAAGGTCGCAAAGGATATTTGCATGGCACTGTGATACGTCATAAAATACACGCCAGTTGCCAGGCTTCTCAATTTTGATCACATGACCATGGGGGTGCTACAGCGGTCGTAAGTGTGAAAACTGGTCATAAGTCACTTTTTCCCCCAGTGCTGTTGAAACCAGGGGTCCCCAAACTTGGCAACTTTAAGACTTGTGGACTTCAGCTCCCAGAATTCTCCAGCCAGCAAAGCTGAAGTCCATAAGTCTTAAAGTTGCCAAGTTTGGGGACCTCTGTACTAAACAAATGGTTGTAAGTCAACGGCTACCTGGAGTAATATTCGTCCTTTTATAGCGGGAGCAACTTCAGTCACAAGGAAACGGCTTTTGATTAAAAGTTGTGAGCCTAACTGTCCAAGCCCAGTTTCTTTCCTCATCGGAGAAAGATACACACCCTGGCCTTCCCGAAGGTTGCGCCCATTGGATAAATTGGGACCACAACTCCCAGGATGCTACATGTACCGGGCAGAGCGGTTTCCAAGTTAAGAGTCTCGACACATCTGGGAAATGCCAAGCTGGCATTGCCAGGTTGGCAGTGCAGTTTTTTGCCTGCAATATTTCTCCGGTCTCAGAACCAAGCAAGAGGGCTGGACTTCAAAAGGCAGGAGAGAGAGAAAAAAAACAATTTGATGTGTTTTAAAAGAGCTGTGGGGGGGCACGGTGGTTAGAATTCAGTAAAGGTAAAGGTTCCCCTCGCGCATACGTGCTAGTCCTTTTCCGCTCTAGGGGGCGGTGCTCATCGCCGTTACAAAGCCGAAGGGCCAGCGCTGTCCGAAGACGTCTCCGTGGTCATGTGGCCGGCATGACTAAATGCCCGAAGGCGCACAGAACGCTGTTCCCTTCCCACCGAAGGGGTCCCTGTTTTTCTACTTTCATTTTTTTTTTTTACATGCATTCGAACTGCTAGGTTGGCAGAAGCTGGGACCAGTAACGGGAGCTCACTCTGTGAGGCGGCGCTAGGGATTCGAACCATTGAACTGCCGACCTTTCTGATCAACAAGCTCCGTGTCTTAGCCACTGAGCCACCGTGTCTCTATTACAGCGCGCATTATTTTGGAATGCAGTATTGCAGGCTAATTCTTCCGACTGCCAGCAGTTCGACCTTGATCGGCTCAAGGTTGACTCAGCCTTACATTCTTTTGAGGTCGGTAAACTGAGGACCCAGTTTTTTTGGCGGGGTGGGGGGAATATGCTGACTCGGTAAACTGCTTAGAGGGCTGTAAAAACACTGCAAAGCCTAAGGGCTATTGCTATTTTAACTACCTTGATAGCATTGCACTATCTTAATATTAAATTGCTGGTGGTTTTAATCAAATACTTCGTTAATATTCGAGGCAAGCTTCTTTTTCTTTTTATTTGCATATCCCTTTAAGGATTTGGCAGCTGGCAGCGTGTGTGAACATTTGAGAAACAGAAATTAAACCGTGCAATGGCCACTTTTGAGGGTTGCCCCTCCAAGGCTTTGGAGGACGGCTTATAAACCTGGGGCTCAGGTAACACACACCTGAGTTATGTTGATCATTAAGAGGCCCAGCGGGAATTTGTACTATTTGTGGGTTTTGTTCCTTGCTAGGAAAATAGCAACGGTCGACATTGTCAGTGCACTCCATTCCCAGAGAAACGCAGTTCTCCTCGACTTACAAAAGTTCACTTAGTGACTGCTCAAAGTTATAATGGCACTGAAAAAAAGGGGACTTATGACCATTTTTCAAACTTACGACCACTGCAGCATCCCTGAGGTCATGTGATCCAAATCCAAATGCTTGACAACCGCTCATATTTACGATGTGTCCTGGGGTGAAGTGATCTCCTTTTGCGACCTTCTGCCATGCAAAAAGTCAGGGGAGAAGCCGGATTCACTTAACAACAGTGTCCCTAATTTAACAATGGCAGCGATCCATTGGCAAGAAAGGCCATAAAACGAGACAACCAGTGTCTCACTGAACAACAGAGATTTGGGGCTCAATTGTCATTGTAAATCGAGGACTACCACTATAAACTTCTTGGATTAAAATAGTATTGTTAATGTCTCACTGAACAACAGAGATTTTGGGCTCAATTGTCATCGTAAATCGAGGACTACATATATAAGGTTCTTGGATTAAAGAAGTACTGCTAATGTCTCAATGAACAACAGAGATTTTGGGCTCAATTGTCGTTGTAAATTGAAGACCACCTGTATAAGATTCTTGGAATTAAAAAGTACTGTTCCTAAACCTTGGAGAGGTTAAAGGGGTTCGGATTCAACTCCCAGAATTCCCCAGTCAGTTTCTACACATCTTAAAGTTGCCAAGTTTGGGGAAGGAGTGGGAAAAAAAACCACATTATTTTACTCTTTCTGGAGAAGAAGAAAACAAAAAGTACAGGTAGGCCTCGACTTACAACCGTTTGTGTAGCGACCGTGCCAAGTTACAACAACACTGAAAAAAGCCACGTGCCTGTTTTCCTCATTTACAAATGACCAACATGACCAACGTGGGATCAAAATCTGGTCACTTGGCAACTGCCATGGAGTTATGACCGTTTGCAGGACCCCCGGGGTCACGCGATCCCCATTTGCGACCTTGTCACAGGTAAAATCAAAGGGGAAGCCAGATTCGCTTCACAACCCGTGCCACCAACGTTTCACCGTTGCGCTTCACTTAACGACTGTGGCAAGAGCCATCGCAAAACGCAGCAAAATGCACTTAACGGAAATGTTGGGCTCGGTTCTGGCTGTTAAGTCGAGGAACGCCTGTTATTACTTTAACCTCATCAAAATCCCCCCCTTTGCAAAACACAGGAGGAAGGGAAAAAAGGCCAGAATTTAACCCCCCCCCCTCCATGATAATCAGTAAAGCATGGAGAATATATATATATATTCTAATCTTCCTATCTTTTTTTGCAAACCATCTGCCAGAACGTCTTCAAAATCCAGCCTTAAGGCCTGATAATTTCAGACTACTTTCCTGTCACGCTGATCAAAGGATGTTTCTCTATGTCTGTAATTTCCCCCTCCATTATAATCAGGCATATGTGTTTCCTACCCAAAACATCAAAATCCTGCTATCTGAATACACGATCAAGTGGAAGAGCGCAGCTGGTTCCTAAGGTGCCTAAAACCAATTTATCCCACTTCTGATGCCTTCTGTTCTGCTTCAGTGTCCTCGTTTGCTAACCAGCTTGTCTAAGGAAGACGGGGTTTAGGGGGACAAAAAAAAGTGGAAACGTAGCATTTTTGAAAGGCACATTGGCTCGATGGTTTTGAAAAGTCCAGTTTCGGAGGTCCAGTTTATGACCTTTGCTATGTCCCAAGGACATGTGATCCCCTTTTGTGATCTGACAAGCAAAGTCAACGAGGAAGACAGATTCACTCAACAACTGGGTTACTAACTCAATAACTGCAGTGATTCAGGGAGCAACTGTGGCAGGAAAGGTCGTAATATGGGCAAAACTCACTTAACAGCTGCCTGACTTGGGAGCAGATATTTTGGGCTCGATTGTGGTCTTAAGCCAAGGACTACCTGGACAACATATCCAAAAAGGTGGCCAGATCATAAGGCTGCTCAGAATTTTATTTCCACCTGACTTGTCCTTTAGTCCCAAAGGTGCTTTTCCCCAAAAGGCTATTTTCCCCTTTGAAAATGTTTTGTTTCTTATCCAAGAACCTTCTTCAGTTCAGAACTGAAGAAGCTTCTTGGGTGAGAAGCTAAATGTTTTATTAAAAAAAAATGCAATAAAGTCCAGTTGTCTTTTGGTAAAAGCACCTTTGGGACAACCAGACCTGGATAATTGGGAATCTCCATAGACACCTGTCCTTTTATGATTCAAAGTCCAATTCACACAAGACAGAAACGTGCTTGAGTGCGTGAGTACAGCTTACCTTGTTTCCCTGAAAATTAAGACCCGGCCGGAAAATAAGCCCTAGCATTTTCCAGGCTACTCACCAGCACTACCCCCAAAATAAGCTCTGTTAAGATTGTCAACCAGACGGATGCATTTAGTGCCGGTATTTCCCTGAAAAGAAGACCCAATGCATCTTTTGGAGCCAAAAATGAATATAAGACCCGGTCTTATTTTCAGAGAAACACGGTAGCAGAGTCCAGGTTTGCTATTCAGGGGAAGTTCTGCTTGGTTTCTGCACTTCTGGATGGGGAATTCTTGCCACTGGACTTTGCCTCCCTCCCTCGCTTAGGATCGTTTTTCTGGAAGAGAGAGAGAAGACTTACTTGCTGGCTGGTCCAACTTCACCACCAGGGCTTGTAAAGCGTAAAGGGCCTGGAGCTCCTTATCTTCATCACTCAAGTATTTCTGCAGCAGCTTGGCTCGGCTGTTAATCACAAGATTGTCCATCCGGTAAGGATTCTCGACTGTAACAGAGAAAGAAAGGGAGAGGTCAGCCGAACGAATGGACAGTGGACAGTTTTATGCCTAACCCCAAAAACAACGCTAGCAACATTCACAACCTCTTCCCCAGACCCTCTGGCTCTGCTTCTAATAGGATCTTGGGAGGGTCAAGGGTGCCATTCCTCAACACGCCTATTATTCTAACATCCTATTCTAATTCTGGACCGGCTCCATCGAACATGACTCTAATTGGTGAAGGGGTTAAACTTGGCCAGGGTTTGCCTTGTCCTCCTCGCCTCTCACACTGTGGGGAATCACCAAGGCCCCTATCTCACTCAGCACTGACAAGACCTTTTTATTCCTCTCTGCTCCTGTGGGACGAGTCAGAACTTGGGATTGTAGTGAGAGGAAAGCAATGAAGAGAGGACTGCAGTACTGTAATGTAAAACCTGTGGGTGAATTCTGCCATCTGCCAACAGTTCGATCCTGACCGGCTCAAGGTTGATTCAGCCTTCCATCCTCCCGGGGTCAGGGAAAAGGAGGACCCAGATTGTTGGGGGCAACTCTGGAGGCCGCTTAGAGAGGGCTGCAAAGCACCGTGAAGCTGTATATAAGTCTAAGCGCTATTGCTATTGTTCTTCAAGGCCTAGCCCAAGAGGAAATGGCTGGGGGTGGAAGGAAGATGCAAGCTTCTTGTATACCTGAAGCCCGATGTGGCAGTGAAGCTAATTCCAACTAGGAGAACCACTAAAACCGTTCAACTCTTGCCCTTTAATGGCGGGCTATGCCAACCGTGGTGAGCCCCAATGCTACCGGTTTGGTTTGGGCTTCCCTGTTACACACAGCTAACCAACCCCAGCCCTTCACGGTCTGGGTCAAGGTAACTTGTGAGACCATCTCACTCCACTGGGACTGGCCCGTATCACTCGTGTCGGCAGAAGAGGCGTGCTGCGAGTCCCGCCATCCCGATTATCCTGACTCCAGGAATAATCCTGGAAGAGGATTCAGGTTCAGGAATTGGGCCTTCTCTGCTGTGGCTCCTGCCCTCTGAAACACCTTGTCGCACATCCTCTCCCCATGTGAGGTTGTCCCCAAACCCTCCTATCTTTTCATAATGGCTTAAAAACTTCCAGGTCCCAACAGGGGAACAGCGCAGCGGAGGTGGTTGACCGAGTAACCACAGATCCTGCCCACACCCTCCCCACACGTCCTTAAGATGTTCATGTTTTGTTTTAATGCGTTTATGTTTTAACGTATACCTACAGATACAATTTTTTACGATTGTAAGCTGGTCAGAGTTACCCTATTGTCAGATGGGCAGCCAATCAATCAAATAAATCAATATTCAGCACATCATAGTTGGAACTGTCTTGCTTTCCCAAGCCAATAAATTTAATTAATTCATATTCAGCACATCATAGTTGAGCTGTCTCGCCTTCCCAAGATCATTTCTGCCTCAAAGATGGTGAATTTGTAGAAAACATATCCCAAGCCATACTACTGGGCTAGGACAACTTCTGGTCACAAAGCTCTCCTTAAGTTGCCCCGGAGGTGCTCTCTCCATTCTCACCTCCCGAAGGGCAACTGGATTTTCTTGGTTTTTTTCTCGTTGCAAACGTTTCTCTTCTCATCCAGTTCTAACTGAAGTTAGAACGGAAGAAGCTTCTTGGAGGAGAAGCGAAATGTCTTCAAAGAAAAAAACGAACGAGAAATTCCAGTTGCCATTTAGAAAAGGAAGGGGGAAAAAAAAGCACCTTTTGGGACAACCAACATCTGGATGGCTAAGAATCTCCATGGATCTCTCTCCTTAAGGTGGGAGATATACAGGTCTGATTCCAGCCAGCTGGACAGGCCAAGGGTGGAGGGGGTCTTAAGAGGCTGGAATTCTGCAATTTCTAAGTTTGCTTTCCGGGTCTCTTGGCCTGCCACCTTAGCGGTCTGGCCAACAACATCAGCTATGTTCTGTAGGCCAATCCATATTAGGGGGTCCTGACCACCAGGAAATGCTACTGAGGGACTGATGGGGGGGGGGGGCTGCTCTTCTCAACTGAGGGCAACTTCACCCAATTTAGCCGAATGGGATCCTCCCCAGAGCATGCGCCTCCCGCAACGCTGCCCACCCCGTGCCCTTTGATAACAGTAAAGGCTTACAGACTACGGCGGAATGGCATACTGACATCATCAGGGCCCTGATAAACATACTGGAGGAGACCTGCTGTTCACTCAGGTTTACCTGGTAGGAGAGGAAAAAAAAAAAAAAGATGCTCAAAATTAGTGGTCAGAAATACAGGGAGTCCTCCACTGACAACAGTTTGTTTAGTGACGGTTCAAGGTTACAACGGCACAGGAAAAAAAAGCGACCGTTTTTCAGAGTTATGATCGTTCCAGCATCCCCATGGTCACACGATCAAAATTCAGATGCATGTCAATGGATTCATTATTTATGACGGTGTTCTGGCCCAAACCCTTGTCCAATTAAAACAAACACGAACCAAAAGGAACAGAAACCTTTTAATGATTCTTATGAATCCCCGGTTAAAAGGCTGCTGCAAACTAATTAACTTTGATAAGCACGAGCCTCGCCAAAACTGTGCGAGGCTGCCAAAAATAACAGGTAAGGTTACCGAGAAATATTTCACAACACAAGAGTCTTCAAATACCAACTTAACGATACTGCAATGTCCACGAGGCTGAAGTTTCAAAACGTCTTTGCTTCCTGCAAAGAACGTCCGATTCACAGCTGCCTTTTATCTTCTTGAGGGAGGGGCCATTATCTTGCAGCCTTACTCCCGAGTCACCCGTGCTGCTGCAGCTGCTCTTTCCTGCAAGCAGCCCTGAGCACACGCGCACTTGGCACAGGCTCCTAGGGAACCTCCTCATCGCTGCTACCCGCCCCCACAATCTCTGAAGGCAGCAGCCTACTCCCTAATGGTCCTGGCCCCTCACCTAAGTCCTCGCTCTCCTCAGTCGCCAGCACCTGCTGCCGGCTAACAACAATAGACAGTTGCAGTGTCCCGGGGTCAAGTGATCATCTTTTACTGATTTTTTTACAAGCAAAATATATTGGGGAAGACAGATTCACCTAACAACTGGGTTAATAGGAGAACAGCAATACAGCCTACTAAAAAGCTCCCGGAACAGCCCTTCAAAGGATTCCTCACCTCAATCCAATCGTATATTCTTTGGTTATTGGCATTTTCTTTTAATAGTTTATCTAGTTGTCTGCAGAGTTCTTCAGAGGTGAGCTCCTTCCGACTGGGAGCATCCGAGCTGTCGCCCATGGTATATTCGACTTTCTGGAAACAGAAACAAAAGGGGAGCAGATCTGATTAGGGCAACAGGTCACAGGTACCTAGGGAGAGTCTCAGTCATCCAAGTCAATGGTTGTCTTAAAGGTGCCTTTTTTTTTTTCGAGAGGCAACTGGACTTTTTGGTTTTTCTTTGAAGACATTTCGCTTCTCATCCAAAGAAGCTTCTTCAACTCTGACTGGATCATTGGGAATGGAAGGACTTATACTCCTCGCAGACAGCCGGTCATTTGCATTCTTTTTAAAGAGTCACTGAAGCCACTTGGAGGTTTACCTGTGTCCTCTGGTTCACCTGAGTAGTGCAAGTAAGTATGGGCTTAACTTAAGGCTCCACATCCATATGCACTACTCAGGTAACCCGGAGGACTTAAATAAACTTCCAAGTGGCCTCAACTATTCTCTAAAAGATTGCAAATGACCAAATGTCTGCAAGGAATATGAATCCTTAATTCCCCACCAAAGAGACACAAGAAAGTCCAGTTGCCTCTTGAAAACAAGCACCTTTGGGGCAAACCATGACCTGGATGACTGAAAACCTCCCTAGACATTCACCCCTAGTTTACAAGAGCCGCTAACAATACCGTACCTAAAACAACACAAGGGAAAACAGAAGAAGCCTCATTGCAGTAGAACCACAAGGCAACTCAAAACTCCAAGCAAAAACGGCTCGTCACTCACAATTTAAGAGAAACCTCGTGGGCCCACAAAACACTTGTTTCAGCTCCTAGTGAATCGTGTTTTTCAAGCCTTCCAGAAAACGAACAGAGCCGAGGGAAGGGCTTTTCCCGAGGGAAGGCTTGACAGCAGAGAAGGCACCCCTCCTGGGACCTGAGAGATGACGCTGCTTAATCGACGGTGCCCCAAGCGTGTGAACTTTTGCCAGAGCTGGTAGAAACAATTGCAGATAGGCAGTCCTGCAAGCAACGTGGCTCAGAGCCATGCAGGCATTTCTAAGATGGCAGCCACCACCCTGAGTCGCACCCAGAAGCCAGGGTAGCTTGCAAAGACGTGGCGTTATATGGGCAAGTGAAAAATGTGCCCAGAACCTCACAATGGCTGCATTAGGCTTAGATTTATACCCCGCCTCTTGTTCAATAATAATAACATATAATAAAACATGCTGTACATGGTGTTCCCTCTTCCTATTTTCTCACAGGATGGTCATCCTGGGATGCAGGTTGGGTTGGGTGAGAACAAATGGTGCAAAATCACACCAGCTTGCACTTATTATTATTATTATTTTTAAAAAGAGGGTTGGGCGGGGGGAGGAAAAGTTGAGAGAAAATACATGGCGTTTCATACAGATGAGAAGATGGCATTGATCTGGCTACGGATGAAGCATTCTTAGCCCAGAATGCCACAGATCACAAGGAAGAGTTCAAAACGGTGGGACAGATTTTAAAGGATACAAATCCTGGCTTTCTGGGCATAGCCTGAAATACGAATGAGACCGAAATTAAACCCTTTAAATCGGCGTTTCTCAGCCTTGGCCGCTTGAACATGTGTGGACTTCAACTGCCAAAATTCCCAGCTGACTGACTCCACATATCTTCATGTAGCCAAGACACTGCGCTACCACACACTGGCTTTTGCTGCAGTGCAAAGGGGAATTCTGGGACTTGAAGTCCACTTATCTTGAAGCAGCCATGTTTGGGAAACACTGCTCTAAGCCGTAATACACACTCTCTCTCCCTCTCTCCTGATCCAGCAGACCCATAAGCATCCTATGGGAATAGTATTGCTGGAATGTTGCCCTAGTTCAGGTGAGCAATGAGAAAGGAGAAGGCTTAAAGCTAAATTTTAATCTTAATTTTCTGTCGTTTGGATGCAATCGCCAACCTTCCTACTCCGCAATTGCTCCTTACCTGTTCTGTGATGAACTTATTGATATCCTGGTTCTCCGGCAGGAACTCTTTCCAACTCAGTCCACCTTCTCTCCATAATGTTCCTGCCTTCTTGTGGCTCTACAGAGAAGAGAAACAATCTTTGCACCATTTTGTGTACAAAATGGCACTGAAATGGCAGCCGTCCCGCTGCTTTGTCACGAAACCTCCACTGAAAGAGAATATCCACAAAGCTCAGATGCTGTGAATTTGTGTTGTGTGTTTGGGGCAATAGACTCCAAACAGCATCTATATCTAAAGTCTAAAGTATCACAGGTGGGTTTTTTCTCTGAATTCTAGAAAAGAGGTCTCCAAACTTGGCAGCTTTAATAAGACTGGTGGACTCCAGCTGGCTGGAGAATTCTATGTGGGCGGTGCAGCCTTGTGTTCTCATGCAGCCTGGATTAATTGCTTTGGGGGGGGGGGGTCATTTCTCTGTGGACCACCAAAATTTTCTCGCGGACCACCAGTGATCCCCGACCCACCGGTTGGTGACCACTGTCCTAGGTAACCCAACAACAGGGACACACGGCGGTGCTAAGCGAACACGTGACCCACCACGGTCCCTCTTCTCAATCCTTCAGAGAAACCAATAAGCAGATGGTTGCTTGCAGGAGAACATACCATTCCTTTGCAAAGTAGGCCCAGGATCTCCACCAATAGAGTTGTGGCTTTGCCAATAGGGACTAGGGGCTTGGCGATCTCCCTGGGGAAAAAAAAAAGCAGAAAGAGGAAAGAAGGTCATACAACAGGACGGGAAACAAAAGCAGAAAGCACAGGAGTTTTTATGGAGATTCTCAATGATCCAGGTCACAATTATTCCAAAGGTGCTTTTTCTGTAAGACTTCCCCATTGGACTTCCTTGGTTGTTGCAGTTTTTTTTTTTAAAAAAGGTTTCACTTCCTATCCAAAAAGCTTCTTCTGTTCTAACTAAGAATTCCCCAGCATTCAGTTAGAACTGAAGAAGCTTCTTGGATGAGCTTCTTTTTTAAAACCACCACCGTTGAGGTATTCCCCATTAGAAGAATGAGTGCACTCAGGGAAACGTAGTGAGAGTGATGTTGAATAAAATACACAACCAGCATACAGATACACTAAATAGTAAAATGTTGGTTTTACTTCTAGTAAACGGGTAAACAAAGTCCAACAAACAGTCCAGATCATACACGGTTAAAGCAGTTAGTATCAGTCCAGGGATAATCCAAAAACAAAGTCAAGTATCATAAACAGAGTTCAGTAAACCGAGTTTTCTAACATTTGCAAGACTCACGGCAATCCAAGCAGAACGACGATCGGGCAAAAGGCAAAACAGGAAATGCAAGAGAGAGCAAACCAGGTTTCTGGCTCCATCTTATGGCCGTTGGAGGAACCTCAGCCAATCACACTTACAGCATTCTCTTAAAGATACAACAGTCTTAAATTAACTATCCTGGTTTATATATTTCCAGCCCAACTGTTGGTGACCATCATGCCTAACAACCACCACCAAAGAAGTCCAGTTGACTTTTGGAAAAGCACCTGTGGAACAAAATGCAGGGCTGTCGCTTAGCTTACCTGAAGAGCTCCTCCATGGGAATCCCGCCTTCTCTTAAAATGGGGGTGATAATCTCTGCCAAGTACAGCCATATATGGGGTATATCAATCTCCATGTCTTCCCCGATCTCCAGGATCTCTTGAAGTCTGGAAGTCAAAAGCCAGGCGTGAGGATCGTGCCAGCTTCTAGGATTCCTGGCAGTGTGTCATCCTCCTCCTTCTCCCCAACCCTTCGGCAACCCTTCCCGCAGCTCTTCCTGGTGAGAGGCACCCTCCCCGCACCCCCTTACCCTTTATAGTACTGCTCCTTGGAGAGGTAGCCTGCCTTGACCAAGTGGTAGAGTAGCAGCCCCATGTGCTCGCGAGCGATGGTGCTTCGCTCTAACGTGGACTCGATGCCATTCCGGACAAAGATGTAGAGCTGAGTGGGGCAGCCCAGTTCCTGTACACACTGCAGGGCTTCCTGGAAAGAGAAAGGAAGGAGGAGATTGCACCAAGGTCAGGAAGAGACCTCAATGGAAGAGACCTCAAAGGTCTTCTAGTCCAGCCCTCTGCTCCAGCAGGAGACCTTGTACCATTTCCAGACAAGTAGCTGTCCAATCTCTTCTTAAAAGCTTCCAGTGATTTCTTGATTAGGTCAGCGAAACCTGATCAAAGGCCACCACTCACCACCCAGCATCCACCCAGTTTATACACCCAGCAGAGATTAAAATCCAGGAAAAGCTTCCTTAGGTTGACAAAAGACTTTGAAAGCAGAGAGGACCTATGGAAAGCTATAAAGAAGCAACGGTCAACTCGTAAAATATTTCTATGGTCTTTTTAAGAGTTGCCGACAGAAAGGGGTGGGGGGAATCAATGCAGCAGCTTGCAAAACAAACTGCAATCCATCAATGTTGTCAAAGATAGTAACTAGGTGATTGAAGTTTCCCAAGTATCTACAAAAGTTAAATCATGACTAACTGGATCTAATTCTAACCGGAGAGCATGATTGATGACTCTTGGCTAGGGATGTGTCCCATTGGAGAATATGAATTACGATACACCCAGGGGGTGATGGGAAAACCTGGGTCAAGGGAGACAATGAATGATGTGTCTCAGAGTCGGCTACACCCAGGCAGTGCCGGACATGTTAACTACCAATAAATCCTTTTGAAGTTTTAAAAGTTTGGCTCAAGACTCATGATTTGAATGGCGGGGGTAACTGCCAGAATCCTGACAGCTAGTCGACTCTGAGGCACATAATTCATTGTCACCCTTGACCCTGGTTTTCCCCCACCTTCTGGGTGTACTGGATAGAACCAATGGAGGTGCCGGCACCTGGAAATCATCGAATATAGATTGTACAACAAGATCCAGAGAAGCCCTGAACAAATGGGGTTATCTGGTTGCTTCTGTTCTTTGCGATTGTGGTGACATGCAGACAACGACATGTTTGTTTGTTGCTCCTAGGATCTGACCTAGGAACCAAATTTCCTTAGTTCAATGATTCTTACAGCACATTGGCTTCCACTGTAAGGTAATCAGTCAATGGATGCATTGTTTAAATCAAATGCCGTATTTTCCTGTTAAATGCACAGGGAAATTTTGAATTAATATTCCTGCCCTTCCCACCCGTGGGGACAAAATACAATATTTTCAACCAGGTAGAGGTTTCATTTGCTTGCTTCATTCGTTCCTTGTTCCTGAGTCAGAAGCAAAGAAGGAAATCCTGAGATGGTTTAGCTCAGGGGTCTTCCAACTTGACAGCTTTAAGACTTGTGGACTTCAACTCCCAGAATTTCTCCTCCAGTCATGTTAGCTCAGGAATTCTGGGAACTGAAGTCCACAAGTCTCAAACTTGCCGAGTTTGAAGACCCTTGGTTTAGCTTGTGGTTTACACTGAACTTACAACTTACCCTTATGGACGGCCAGAATCTGAAAATAACATTTGACACAGCACAGTACTTAAGCAAAATGATTCAGTTGAGATCTGCATATGTGGGACTGATTGGGGTAGATTGCAGGGGTGACACTGAAATTTAACTTTATCATATTTTATCTACTTCTTAAGTGTATTGTATTTTACTCCAATTTCATTTTAAGTCATTTTTTTTTTTAAAAAAATTCCAATTTCATTTAAAATTGTATTTTATCCCATTTTAAATTGCTCTTAGCAAATTTTAGTAACGCTTTGTTTCTGGAACTCTGCACTTTAATAATGGCCCAATGGCTAATCAATAAATAAAGATAAAGACTGGTGGGAAAGCCTGAAATTCTAATCCTTCTAAAGGTGGAGTAAAATAACAATTTAAAAAAAAAACACATTCTGGGCAGCCTCTGAATTTCCTCTACCAGACCTAGCAGGAAAAGTATGTCCTAGCCTGTTGTTGGCTCATCGTTCATCCAAGATCCTGTGGCTGCACATGCCCTGAAGTATCAGAGCTTTTGAATCGCCCTTCCCACTGCTAAAGTCTACTTCGGGCCAGGAAAAAGCAACCATGGTCCCACCCAACCTTTTCTCCTATCAGAGCCCAGAACAAACCTTCATATCATTGATGTGTAGGTATTCCTCAGTGATGGCCTTGGCTTTCTTCTCCAGCTCTTCCTCAGATAAGGCAGGTTTGGCGGGCGGTTCGGGAGCCACTGGCTCGCGCTTGGCTGCAGGGAGAGCGCGAATGTGAGAAAAGCAGAAAAAAAGGGAAAGAAATATTGGGGGTAGTAGGATTCACATCATAATACAGAAGATTCTGTAGGGTTCTGTAGAGCCTTGGTGGCGCAGGGGTTAGAATGCAGCATTCCAGGCTAATTCTAACCGGCTCAAGGTTGACTCAGCCTTCCATCCTGTGAATGAAGACCCAGATTGTTGGGAGCTGACTCTGTAAACCACTTAGAGAGGACTGGGAAGCCCTGGGAAGTGGTACATGAGTCTAAGTGCTACTGCTATTGCTGTTCTCAAGGTGAGTATAAAGATAAAACCAGAGTGTTTTTTTTTTCTTTGGGGTTTAATGGATAATGATTTCGAAAGAAAATTTGGGACGTTGATGCTATATATACGTTGACGGCAGCAAGATAATTGTATGCACACAAATGAAAGGACACTTTGATTTCCACAATGGACAAATGGCTGCAAAAGTTGATGGAGCTAGCAGAGACGGCTCAATGATAGCTTTGATTAAAGAAAACAATTAATTTGGAAACCGCTTTTTTCGACTTTGTGCTTGAGAGGGGGATTAAAACTCTTGCTTTTGGGTACAGCTCATTAGATAGGTTTGTTGTTATAGAAATGGCTAGCCTATATATCATTATATAAAAATAAAAAGTTGAGGTTTTATGCTATGATCCTATTCTACTGCACCAAAAGGAGTCAGACGTCAATGCCTTCTTTTTTCATCACCCCCCCTCTGCCCTACACTTTATTCCTCTTCCTATTTTTCTCGTTTTCCGGTTATTTTCTTTTATATTTTTGTATCCTATATATTTTGATAAACTTAATACAATTTTGAAATGAAAAAAAGGAAGAGAAAGCAAAGTCAGAGATCCTTCTGGCCTGGAATTGGGATGAAGAGAGAGGGAGAGAGAGGGAGGGAAGGAGGGAGAGGGTGGTGGTGACTTACTTTACTTCGTGTTTGCACCCCCCCCATTGCTACCCCAAACTCACCAGGTTCCCTGCTTCGGTCACGCTCTTCCGTCATGCTAGCCACTTTGCGCACCGTTTCAAGGACTCCTTGCCGTTCGCGCTCCCGGCTCCGGTCGTCCATTTCTTTGCTGAAGCTGCGCTTGGTGACTGGGGTTCGGTTTCTCTCCGCCCGCTCTACCCTCTCGCTCCGCTCCATGCGGTCGCCTCGCTCCGCCCGCTCTACCCTCTCACTTCGCTCGCTGCCTTTTTCGGAGCGGTCGCGGCTGCTGCTGCTTCTGCAAATACAAGCGCCCAAAAAGTCCCTATCTTAGGTGAGGGCACCCTTTCCGGCACTTCGGGGAAGAACCCAGAAATCTTTCCAACGCAGGGAAAGGCTGCTTCTCATAAGGATTGCTCATCACGTAATGTCTCCGTTGCATTAAGTGAAGTGCATTAAGGAAGAGTTAAACGAAACTCCAAGGCAATCTCAAATCCAAAACAGAGACATCACCATTTCCTAAATATTTAAAAAAATTAAATCATGACTAACTGGACCAAAGTTTATTAAACTGAGGTTGTTTCGTTACTCATCCAAGTAACGTCTTCAGTGAAAATGAAAAATTTTTAAGCAAAGTGTCACTGGAATGTACCAACTCTTGCCATACTGACTGCAAAATGAAATGTATAATATGTAAGACTCAACCATCCAAGCCAAAAGTATCCCAAAAGGTTAAGTCATGGCAAATGGAATGACATTTATTAAACTGAGAGGTTTTGTTACTCATCCGAGTAACCTACTTGGTCAAAATGAAGCTAATGTTACATGTGACATCACACAAACGCATACAGATAAAAATAATACACATATCATTTCCCAAGGGAATGAGAAGACCTGCAGAAGCTACTGCTTTAAACTGCACTGAGAAAGCCAGATTTTAAGCAAAATTCATTTTCCTTCACGCCTAGCAGATGAAATGCAAATATTCACGGGGAAATAGTTTCGATTTCCAATGCTGTTAGAACCCAATACATTTTGCAAATTGGATCAATGAACTAAGCAGCATTTTAATTGCACCACTCATTGCTGATAGCATCAAGCCATGATTATTCCGACCACTGTTCGCCAAACTACCTGGAATCTGACAGTAATCATTTGCTTGGCTGACACTCTCTCTATTATCACTGCCAGTATTAATCAACACATTAGCAGCTGTGGATGACAATTCTGCCTGGTTGTTTGCAGGATTACAGGGTCATAAAAAGGGGAGTCTGTGGGACTAAGTACCCTTTATTTTATGCTAAAATAAAGTGTGTGTGGGGGGAGAATGTGATGCATTTCTAAAATATTATTTGTGGGATGTATGCAGGATTTACAGTTTGAATTGCTCTTTGGGTCTGTTTCTATATTACAGATTTCCAGCTTGGTTAGCGTTAATCTTGGCTAGATTGTATAAACTCAGGGTGTAAGCTCAGCCCATTTAACAACGTCAGGGTTCAATGTATTGTGCAAACCAAGATGACGGGTTAATTTAGAAAAAACAGCCTCAACCAGCCTGCATTCCACTGAAGACCTGTACACTGCACGAGCCAGAATGAGGGCTGAGAAAATATCTACAGACCCCTCTCATCCTGGGCATAATCTATTTCAATTTCCACCCTTAGGACGCCGCTATAGGGCCTTGCACGCCCAAGACAGCTATCTCTTTTCTCTCGTGCCATCACTCTTCTGAACACCTAATCCTCATAGCACTCTCATTTCTCATCCTTCCTACTATCTTCCCCTGTTGGTTTCTTATGATTTATCAATTGTTGTTTGTAATGTATTAACAATTGTGAACTATGATTTATGACCTATGACTTGCTGTTTATATGTACAGGGTGAGCTTATGCACCTGAGACAAATTCCTTGTGTGCCCGATCATTCTTGGCCAATAATGAATTCTGTTCTGTTCTGTGCTTCTTCTATTATATTTACTAAGTCTGCTTTACTATCACTATTAATCTTCTCATCACTTCTTATCACCCATCCCCTCCCACTTGTGACTGTATGATGGTAACTTTGTCGCTTGTATCCTTACGGTTTATATTGACTGTTTCCTAGTATGATTTGATTGCTTATTCTACCCTATGACTATTATCAAGTGTTGAACCTTATGATTCTTGACAAATGTATCTTTTCTTTTTATGTACACCGAGAGCATATGCACCAAGACAAATTCCTTGTGTGTCTAATCGCACTTGGCCAATAAAGAATTAATCCATCCATCCATCCATTGGGTTAAGGGTGTTTTGTGAGCATGGCTTATATGTGGCCAAAACCTCTTCAACCCACCAGCTCACATATTCCAGAGGATTAACCGCAATCAAGAGCCCTGAATCCCAGAATTTGTCCTTCCGCACGTCTCTAAGCAAGCCTCAAACACGAGAGGAAATTCTTGCTACGGAAGCGTAAAGAAAGACCACCAACCTTTGAACCACACGCCGAACATCTTGGCTCTCTGCAGGAGCCGTCTGTTGTAAGGCTGAAAAACGATTCAAAGTACTCGTGGCTGGACGGTTGGTGTCGGCAGCTGCAGGCAGGAAAATGGTGGATTAGATGAGTTCACAATCCATGGCATCACCCATGTTTGCGCACAACACTCCTGCTAAACCAGTTGCCACCTTTACCTGGTTCAGCAGGTTTGGCACCCGAACCGCCACTGCTGCCTTTTCCCCAGCTCAGTCGTCCACCAGGTGCAAAGAGCTGGCTGTTAGTGTCAATTGAACTAGGCTGTAAAAAGGAGAAAGACCAGGCGCTTACTATTGCTTACTATTCAGTGTGCATGCTTTTCTGCCGCCTTAAATTGTGCCATCTCCATCTCACAGGCAAAAGCACAACTTCAATTAACATCTAAAACATTACCAAAATCTGTCAAGTATGTTGCAACGAAGTCATGGAAATCTGAAGTACTACTCAGTACCCTCATTCCAGGTGAAGTGTCAAAGGTGCTTTTTCAAGAGGCAACTCCGCTTTGTTTTTCTTGGAAGACTTCCACAAAGTTTCTTCAGTTCTGACTGGATGGTAGGGAATAGAAAGATTTATATTCCTTGCAGACAGCTGGTTATTTGCATCCTTTTAGAGTTGTTGAGGCCACTTGGAGGTTTATCTGTGTCCTCAGAGTCACCTGAGTAGTGCAAATGGGTGCTTTCTGCTTAAGGCTCCACATCCCTATGCACTACTCTACTCAGGTGACCCTGAGGACATAAATAAACCTCCAAGAGGTCTCAATGACCCTCTAAAAGGATGCAAATGATCAGCTGTCTGCAAGGAATATAAATCCTTCCATTCCCCACCATCCAGTCAGAGCTGAAGAATCCTTTTGGATGAGAAGTGAAATGTCTTCAGAGAAAAACCAGAAAATCCGGTTGCCTCTTGAAAAAGCACCTTTGGACAACTGTGAACTGGATAGCTGAGAATCTGCATAAACATCTCAGGTGAAGGTCTTATTTCCTTAACACATTATTTAACTTATTTCCTTAACACATGTGGAAAAATAGGCAGGGTACGTTTATAAACATTATTACAGCATAGTGAGCAACAAATTTTGAGCCTTGACCCTTTCAAAACAAAACTGGAATATGTGAACTAAGTACTATCGAAAATCAGGATGTGCAGATATATTCTTTCAATATGTGTGTAGCTTCTTCTTGCAAATGACTAGTCCTGCTTTCTGTTTCTAGAATATTTGTCAGATCTCACTTTCCACATTCATATAAAAAAATACTCCAAATTTATTAACATCTGGAGGAGATGCAAAGTCAGTTTAAGAAGGCTTCCCCACCCCACCCCCGTCCTTCCCAAATCCCAGGAAAAAGCAAGGTTGCTCACTATTATGTTGGTTAGCATAATAACCACCGCATTCAAAAAACCATAAAAAAGCAACCTAGCCTTTTGGTGACCTAGACAATCTCACATCGGGCGGATTTTTAAGACTTGAGGTACCGTCATCTAGAAAAATAAGACACCATTCCTCCTCTCCCCAGTTTTAGTAGGACCCAAAACCAGGTATAGCGACTTACCTTAGTGATCTTGGTTAACCTGCTGGGGTCAAGAGGCCGGTTACCTTTGCTAATGGGAACGGTGTTCCAACCGTCATCCGATACTAAGTTTCCTCGTCCCCCTGCAGAAATAACGCAAGTCAAGGATTCACCTTCGAAATTCTTGGGAGAGCGCCAGCTGTCCTCATGGGCAAGACTGGACTTTGGGGAAAGCTAGCATTCTGTTTTCCACGGGAGCCAAGGTGTCAGGATTCCAGCAATCGCCCTGATTAAATCATGATTCTCGGGCCAAACTTCAAAGGATTCATTTGAGGCGACATATTGGCCCTGCCCCTGTAGGAAGCTAACTCTAGCCTTTGTAATTTACAGCCCCTTGTGTCCCTGTTCCCCCCTCCCCCCCCCAGGGGTCTCATAAATCAGATTCTCCAATTGAGTCCGTTCACGGGATTGGGTGTCATCAATCACGTTCTCCAATTAAATATATTAGCGGGCAAAAGCTCGGGTAGTTTAGTTTACAATCTTTTTAAAGATAAAGAGTTGGAATGTACTTTCGCTTTCCAAACTGCTGCACTGCTCTTCCAGATTTCCTTCCTCCTCCCCCCCCCCGGCCGCCCCCAGCCCCCATGGCAACTACTAAAACAGGCATAGGAATGTTTTGAATTGACACAAGAATTTGCTACTTTTGGAGTACAGGTGGTCCTCAACTTGTGAACCACAACGGAGCCCAAAACTTCTGTTGCTAAGCGGCAAAGGCGAACCTTGCGCGATTTCCCACCCTTTCCTGCCACGGTTGTTAAGTGAATCACTGCCGCTGTTAAGTTAGCAGCACTTCAGTGCATGCGGCCTTCCCCATCGACTTGGCTTGTCCGAAGGTCTCAAAAAGGGGACCCCATGCCTCACAGGACACTGCAACAGTCATAAACGCGGCTGCCGAGTGTCTGAATTTTGATCACGTGGCCATGGGGCAGCGGTCTTAAACGGTCTTAAAGTGTGAAAAACGGCCACCCGTTGCTTTTTTCACTGCCGTTGTTACTTTGGTCGCTAAAGGAACGGTTGGTTAAGTCGAGGACTAGCTGTAATTGGAACTCCTGCGATTGGAAAACGTTCGAGGCAGCGTCTTGGATTCCGCCTCACCTGCAGATGATGGGCCCGGAGGCCCCCTCCGCTTGTCCTGCTTGGACATCAGCTGTTGCACTTTAATGTGCTCCCGGTGCTCCTCCATCTCGGCTTCCTTGTGAATCTGGTCAATGGTCTTAGGCCCCTGGTCCCCTCTCCTTGGCACCCAACTGTTCTGCAAAAGGCATAAGGAAAAGCAGGGAGAGGCATTATCGCGTGCAGAAAATGCTCAGTGTTGCGGCCCGCCAGCGCCCAGCGGAGCTGGCGGCGGACTCGGGCAGTGAGGAGGTTGGAGAGGAACATGGGACAGTCCTGGAGTCTGGGGAAGTGCTCTGAGTCCAAAGAGGCAGAGATGGGACCAGGGCTGTCCGACAATGATCAGCTGCCTTTGGAGTCAGAGATCAGTGGGGCAGAAGAACAGCTGGAGCCTGTTCCCAGTGTGCACATGCACAGAGCTGCCAGGAAAAGGGAACAGTTAAGGAACAAGGGTCGACTCGGGAGTAAAGGCACAGGTGGACAGTGAATGGCCCCTCCCATAGGGAATAAAGACGAGCTTGCAAGAGACAATTAGTTCGTTTAATTAGGGTGAAAATTTGTTTGTGACTCCTTGCCACGTATTTTCTGGTACAGCGCTGCGCTTGGAAGCTATCGGTCTGGCAACTCTCCAAGCCTGATAAGGTCTGTAACTGTAAATCACTCTTGAAAGACTGTTTGCCGGGACTTTGTTGGAGGTGAATGAGAGGAATTCACAATAGCCTAATAAAAAGGGGTTTTGTTGGGACAGGATGGTTTTGTGAAGCCTAGGTTAGAACACTCGGCTGCTCGAAACCGGCGATGGTGGACCAGGGATGACAGAAAGGGTGATGGACAACACAACTCCTGGCTGTATTTCTAGGTTGGTCTTCCCTTCTAGTACTGATTGCACTTCAATCCTTTACAGCCAAGAGACTTTAAAGCAGCGGTGTCCAACCTTGGCAACTTTTAAGACTTGTGGAATTCCACAGCCAGCATTGTAAGGACAATTTCCAACAAGTATCTAGGTCTGTTTGGGTAAAGGCGGCTTAGGGAAGACTTTCCTAGTTACATGTCTCCTTCTCTATCTACCCCACTTCTTTGCCCCAAAGAATTTTAATCTTGACCCAAGAGTGGCCAAATTGGTGGCTGCTGCCTTCAATGCCCTGATGCTCTTTGTAATTTCATGTGTGCGCTAGATCAAACTTGGCAACTTGAAGACTTGTGCACTTCTACTCCCAGAATTCCTCAGCCAGCCATGCTATGCTAGTTGGGGAATTTGGGGAGTAGAAGTGCGCACATTGAAAGCTGGTAGGGTTGAGGAACACTGGTATCAAGTCGTGGTGGCCTTCGGCTACCAGCAGAGCCAGCTGCAGAGTCAGACGAGGAGGAGGTTGAGGAAGGACTTGGGCCAGCCTTGAGCCAGATGGGGAGGTAGCTGTCTTCAGTCCCTGAGCAGAGTCAGGGAGAGAAACAGATGGGGCCCATGCCAGATGGGCGGAGGCGTAGAGAGGAGAGGAGAGCAAGGACAGCAATAAGCTGGCTCTCAGGGAAAAGCAGGCGTAGACCCTAGCCAGCCCCTCCTGGCTGGGAAATAAACAGGAGCGGTTTGGGAGTGGCTGCTTGTCGCAGACAACCATTCGTTTCTAGTATACAGCAAACAATTTGGATTTCTTGGATAAACCCAGGTTTGTTGGGACTAATTACATTTGATTCTTTTGTTTATCCCTGTGAATAAGTTACTGCCCTGTTATAAAAAGGGGCTTTGTTTTATTTGCAAGTTAACATCTTATCACTACTTGTGAAGGCGGGGTCAGAACACAAGTGATAGTTAGGAAGGCAGGAGAGAAGGCACTGACTTCTAACAATAGTTCCACTCTACCACTGGTGTTACCTAGTTTGGGTAATGAAATGTCTGCAAGAAAACAACCAAGCTCAGAAGGCAACAAGGACCCCCAATTCTTCACAGTGTCATGATTCCGACACTTAACCTCATTTAAATCATGAGTCTCTCGCCAAACTCCAAAAGGATTTACTGGCAGTTAAAAGATGCGTCGTTGCCTGAGTGTAGCCAACTCTAGAGACACAATTCATTGTCGCCCTTGATCCTGGTTTTCCCCCATCCCCTGGGTGTATCGTAATTCATATTCTCCAATGGGGCAGATCCATAGCTAAGTCATCAATCATGCTCTCCAGTTAGAATTTTGCTGGGCAAAAACTTTGGTCACCTAGTTACTATCTTTGAAAACATTTATGGAATGCAAGCTGCCCACCGTTTCCCCCTCCCTTTCTGCTGGCAACGCTAAAAGACCACAGAAATATTTTATGAGTGGACACACAGCTAGACTTCGGAGGCAGAGGCTCGTACTTTGTTTTCCCAGCTAGCCTAGCCCAGAAAAGGGGAAGGGGATTGTCATCTAGGCCAGGGGTTGCCAACCTTTTGGACCTCAGGGACCACCAAACTCATAATTTAAGATCCCAGGGACCCCTAACTGGTTCTGTGGGTGTGGCCTAATTTGTGGGTGAGGCTTGGTGGTCATGTGACTGGCTGGGCATGGCTTGTATGTAAATATTATAAATATTTATATAAATATTGATTTTTTTATATAAAAAAAGAGCAACTTTTACCCAAAATCAGGCAAAGCGGGCAGGCAGATTGAGTTGCTCACAGAATCACAGATTCGTTCAGAGATCTATCTATCTGCCATCGGCAGAATAAACATAAAATTTGCTTGCAAGCAAATTCATAAAATTTGCTAGCAAGCAAACTCACAAAATTAACTCACAACACACCATGCATGTAAATATTGAATTTTTTATAAAAAAGAGCAACTTTTACCCAAAATCAGGCAAAGCAGGCAGATTGAGTTGCTCAGAGACTCATTCAGTGATCTATCTATCTGCCATCAGCTAGCTCAGTCTCTCAATTTGCTCGCCGTGAATCTGCACTGAATTTGCTTACAAGCAAACCTTCAGTCCTAAGGGAAGCAGAGCTGAAGATCTAAAGACTAGCTAGAAAGCAAGAAATCCAACCATTTCCTGCTTCCTAGCTAATCTAAATCTCCCGGCAGGGCAGAACAGATGATGGTCAGAAAAAGGAAAAATAGCAATTTAGCAAGCAAGTTTAACGGGTAAGGACTGAGTGGGCAGGGAGGGTTCCCGTGGGCCATATGGACGGCGCAGCCTTGTGTTTCTGCGCAGCCTGGATTAATTGCTTTGTGGGGGTGCTCTGGGGGTGAGATTTCTCTGTGGTCCACCAAAATTTTCTCGTGGCCCACCAGTGGGCCATGGCCCACAGGTTGGTGACCACTGATCTAGGCCATGGACCAACACTGAGCTGCTACCTGCACCTTACCCGCCTGAGGTCAATCACATCCTGCAGCATGAACCGGATCCGCGAGGATGTTTTCTTCTCCTTAATTATTTTCTCCATCTGGTTGAAGTACTGATCCATTCGAGGCTGAAGAGCAAAGAAGGAAGCTTGTTTATTTAGCGTTATGACGAAGAAATGAAGTGAGATGACACACTAGAAGACAGGGCAGGTTGTTCTTGGGTTACAACGGTTCCTTTAGTGACCGTTCCAAGTTACAATGGCACCGGTAAAAGTGACTGAGGATCGTTTTTCACACTTACGACCGTTGCAACACCCCCCCCAATGGTCACGTGATCAAAACTCAGACGCGTGATAACGGATTCATATTTATGACTGTTTGCACTGTCCCGGGGTGTGTGTGTTACATGATCCCCTTTTGCGACCTTCTGACAAGCAAAGTCAATGGAGGAAGCCAGATTCCCTTTAACAACCGGGTTACTAACTTATCAACGGCAGTGATTCACTTCCCAACGGTCATAAAACTGGGCAAACATAATCTGTGCCACCAGGGGTCTTAAGGTAAATGGCTTCTGATGCCAGCATTTGAAAGGTGAAGTGAAGGAGACTGACAGAAGCCCCTCTGTGGCTTTTGTGGGCTGTTCATTCAAAGGGAAGTCTCCTCCAAACCCAGCTACGCTCCTGCTACCTTCCTGGCCACAGCCACTAAGCTTTCTTGGCCCATTCTCAAACCTGAAGAATAACCATGGGTGCTGTATGTGCTGCCACAGGGATGGGCAACTCTGAAGAGACGTAGTGGCGCAGTGGTTAGAATTCAGTATTGCAGGCTGACTCTGCCCACTGCCAGCAGTACGAGTCTGGCCGGTTCAAGGTCGACTCAGCCTTCCTACCTTCCGAGGTTGGGTAAAATGAGGACCCAGATTGTTGGGGGCAAATGTGAGGACTCTGTAAAGCGCTTAAGAGGGATGGAAAGCACTGGGAAGTGGTATATAAGCCTAAGTGCTTTAGCTACGGCAATTTTGCGTCCTGTGGACTTGAAGTTGAAGTCTGCAGGTCGTAAAGTTGCCATACTTGCCCATCTCTGTGCTAGGATGGGTTCTTGGCGCATCTAAAGTGTGCCCCAAAGATGCTTTTAACTGGACTGGTTTTCTTTGAAGACATTTTGCTTCTCATCCAAGAAGCTTCTTCAGTTCTGACTGGATGGTGGGGAACGGAAAGATTTATATTCATTATTTGCATTCTTTTAGAGTCCTTGAGGCCACTTGGGAGGTTTATTTGTGGCGTCGGGGTCACTTGAGTAGTGCAAATGGGTGTGGAGCCTTAAGTTAAGCAGAAAGCACAGCTCCACATCCATTTGCACTACTCAGGTGACCCTGAGGACACAGATAAACTTCCCAAGTGGCCTCAAGGACTCTCTAATAGAATGCAAACGACCAGCGGTCTGGAAGGAGTATAAATCCTTCCTCTCCCCACCATCCAGAAGTTTCTTGGATGCAAAGGGAAACAACTTCAAAGGAAAACCAAGAAAGTCCAACTGCCTCTTGAAAAAGCACTTTGGGTACAACCATGACCTGGATGACAGAGAACCTCCATAGATAACTAAAGCATTTGTCCAATGCAAGGAGCACCTGATGCGCCTTAAAACCAAGAGAACTGCTGCTTTCTCCCTTCTGCAGCAAAGGGGAGAAGTACCTTGGCCTTCTCAAAGTCCAGGTCCTTGCCGATGGTCGTGAGCAACCGACACAGACACTCCAGGGATTCCTCGTCGTGGTTCTTCAGCAGCTTCACCACGCAGTCGTGCATGATGGCCTCCGTCAGCATCTTCAGCTTGAAGAGTTCCCCAATGAACTTGATGTTGCCAAGCGAGCGACGGCGGGCTTTGTCCCTCGCGTCATCCAGCTCCTCTTTTAGGCGCGTTTTCTCTTCAGGCTGCCGAACAAACGGGAGAGGAGATTTAACAAGGTGCCAAGATTACACAATATTAATAGTTTATTAAGTACAGGTAGCCCTCGACTTGCAATCGCACATTCAGCCCCAAAACGGCTGTTGCTATGCAAAACATTTATTAAACATTTGCTCCGTTTTACGACCTCTCTTGCTACAGCTGCTAAGTAAATTGCTGCAGTTGCTAAGTTAGAAATGTGTTGTGGTTAGCTGGCAGCAGGTGCGGATGGCTGAGGAGAGCGAGGACTCAGATGAGGGGCTAGGACCATTGGGGAGTGGACTGCTGCCTTCAGAGATTGTGGGGGCGGGTAGCAGCAATGAGGAGGTTCCCAAGGAGCCTGTGCCAAGTGCACGTGCATGCAGGATTGCTCACAGGAAAGAGCAGCTGCAGCAGCACGGGTGACTCGGGAGTAAGGCTGCAAGGTCATGGCCCCTCCTTCAAGAAGATAAACGACAGCTGTGAATTAGACGTTCTTTGCAGGAAGCAAAGACGTTTTGAAACTCCAGCCTCGTGGACATTGCAGTATCTTAAGTTGGTATTTGAAAACTCTTGTGTTGTAAAATATTTCTCGATAACCTTACCTGTTACTTTTGGCAGCCTCGCACAGTTTTGGCGAGGCTCGTGCTTATCAAAGTTAATTGGTTTCCATCAGCCTTTTAACTGGGGATTCATAAGAATCATTAAAAGGTTTCTGTTCCCTTTGGTTCGTATTTGTTTTATTAGACAAGAGTTTGGGTCAGAACAGAAAGTGCTATTAAGTGAATCTGACTCCAAGCCCAATTTGCTGGTCAGAAAAGGGGACCACGTGACCCCAGGACACTGAATCAGTTGCCAAGCATTTGGATTTTGATCACGTAATCACCGGAATGCTGCAATGGTCGTTAAGTGTGACAAATGGTCATAAGTCACTTTTTTTTCAGCGCCTTCGTAATTTTGGTCACTAAATGAACTGTCATAAGTTAAGGTCTACCTATAATTAATATGTTAGCCCACTATGAAACACTGTTCACTGCTAACCACACCATCCACTGATGATGACCGACGCACAAAAGATTCTGTTCCTGGAAAGGCAGAGTTTGCATATCTATAATTGTTGGACGACAACTGCATAATTCAACTTGATATGTGCTTCGAAGTCACAAAACAGTCTTGGGACAGACTGGGGTGTCTGAAACAAATGCTTCTGTCCCTCTCCAGATACCCCAGCATCGTGCCATTCTTTTTATCCCATACTCAAGATAAGACTTTTTCAACTTAATAAAACCGGCCTCAACTGAGAAGGCAGAGATCTCTACACAGCTGTATTGTTGGATGGTAAAAAGATGACCTCGGATTATAAAGCTGAAAAAAAATAAATCTGTAGGGAAACTGTTAGGAATTTGAGTCACCTAACAGCTATTCGGGATGGAAATATATGAACCAGGATAGACATTTCAATACTGTCTCTTTAAGAGAATGAAAAAAATGCAATTGGGTGTGCTTCTGCAAATGACCACAAGATGGAGCCAGAAACTTGGGTTGTTTAGTCTCAGGAAGTCTTAGTCTCAGAACAGAGTGAGAGTCAGTCTCTGTTTCTTTCTGCTGGAGAGAGTTTTGCTGTTCTTCCATTTTTCCTAATTGACTGATATTCTGGATTTGATGTAAGTCTGATACGGAACTGTTTTTGACACTGGACTTTGTTACTGGATTATCCCTGGATTGAAAACTGACTGATCTTACCTGTGAGTGACTTTGGACTGCTTGTTTGAACTATGCTTAAACCTTTATTGAAAGTAAAATAAACTTACATTTACTGTACACAGTGTTATCTGTGTGCTGTGTGTGTATTATTCAAACACTACCCTCACTATGTCTCCCTGTATGCGCTCATTCTCCTAATGGGGAATTACCTCAACAGAAACCTTTTAAAGGAAGCAACCCTGGTGCAGATCAACAAATAATTCAGCCAAGAGAGCACCGATGTCAATCCAACCATTTCAAAAAGTTTGAGGTGAAAGAAAAAGAAAGAAAGAAAGAAAGAAAGAAAGGAAGGAAGGAAGGAAGGAAGGAAGGAAGGAAGGAAGGAAGGAAG